TTTCTTCAGGGTGACTGAACTTTGCAACTTCTATAATAAACAATTTCCCACTCTGCAATTTGCCTTCCTTTATTCCCACTGCCCCCTCCCCGACCCCACCCCACCTCCAGTCTTCAGGAACTGTCCCAAGACCCACATTTCTGTAGAGTGTAAAGTTCTGTGAGGTAGAGCATTCCTTTCAATGGGATCTAGAACTTGAGGGGTTGCAGAATTTTACTGACTAGTAGACACTGCAGATCTGAAGAAGTCAGTTGCTTGGAGCTTGGCCCAAAACTCCAAGGGAATTCCAAACTCTATGAGGCCCAGAGATCTGGAACTGCTGGAAGCCTGGGAATCTGTGGCTGGGCTTAAGGCAGCAGGTGACCACAATAATGTCTTTATAGCTTGAAGGTGTATGAAATAATGTCACTACACCGGAGCAGTGCCTCAGCCTGCACGCCTATTGGAGTCTGCAGCTGCAACACGTAGAAGTTGGCCACCTCCACGTCAGTGGCTCCGAAGTGGGCGGTCACGTGCACACCCTCATGCAGGGTGAAGCTGACCTGGCGACCCACCATGGCCAGCAGGCTGCGGAGGTAGCGTTCCCGGAGGAGGGCTCGGGCCCGCTGTTCCTGGGATTCCTGACATTCGTGAACTACAGGAGACTCCGGGGTTTCAGGAACCTCTGGCTTCAGGGGGGCCCTCCGTCCATCGGGGGCAAAGCCTCTGCTCAAGCCCTCGGGGCCCCGGGGCAGCCGGAGCACAGGCACAGGACTGGGCAGTGGAGTCTGCATTGTCCAGGCTGTTGGGTAAAGAAGAAGAACGGGGAGTCATTACATAGGGAGGTGGGGTGACAGGAAGAGGGAGGACTGGAAGCAGAGGCTTTTCTGCCACATCTCAGCTCAACCTGTCCAAAACCAACCTCCTGATTCCCCCTCCTAAAAGCTGCACCATCCCTCTACCAGTCCCCTATTCCCAGGAACTGCCACCATTCATGAGGTTCACAGAGTGGGGACTTCTGCCTGATGTTATCACAGCTTTACTCCCAGTTCCTGGCCATAAACATGTGCTGAAAGACCCCTGTCTCCTCTCCTCTCTCACACATGGCCCATCCAATCCACCAGGAAATGCTACCTTCCGAATAAATCCCACCCCGCAGACGCCAGCCTGGAAGGGCTCCCATTGGACAAATCTGGAATGATTTGAACATTTAAATATGACAATTGCAGATTATAACCATTGAATAAAACAGAAATCCATGAGTCCATGCTAATTAAAAACAA